ATTATATATGCACCCTACAACCCACCATCGAAATCAAATATGTTCTTCTTTCTCCTTCCCTATGAGTGTTGGTGTGCTTCTTTGTGGTGGTGTCTTATTGTGGTGTGCTTGTTTGAAGGTGACAGAGCTTCCTAGAAGAGCTTGGTGGTGCAACAAGGTGGTCCGGTGGTGGTGGTGGCAAGAAGAGCTCGTCCCAGGTGCAAAAGCAGCAACAGATGCCTGATATAGTTACTTGTGTACGAGAAGAAAAATGTTAGTCCTACTTGGATGTGAAAGAGGTGGAAAATATTGAAAATACAAAGCTGATGTGGTGGCTAGTGTATACTATACTCGTAACTGTGATTGTCGGTTTAGGTTAAAGTGTAAACCATGTTCAGATGACGACGGATGAGTGTTGAAGATGATATGTGGACATCACAATCATAAATTGGCTGAAACTTTAGTTGGTCACCCTTATGTGATATGGCATAGAGTCAAGTTACACCTGTAAGTATTTTATTAACCTTCAGAAAATAATGATCGTAATATCACAATGATTAAACAATCTATAACGCAAGGTATGTGTATAAACAATCATTGAGAGAGTCCAAAATTTAACTACAACCATTTATGATGTTGTTGGATCGAGATAAGTACATTCATTGGGGCAGATATGTCAACGAATCAAATGTTGTTAGTGACCTATTTTGAACACATCCCATATTCGTTTTGGCCTTTACTGTTCTCATCTTTATTTTTTTTCAAGAAAACCAACACATATATTATACACACACACACACACACACACACACACACACACACACACACACACACACACACACATATATATATATATATATATATATATATATATATATATAATAACAACACATGTTCACATAAACATACCCAAATATACAAATCAAACTATTTATCATGCAAACAAACATATAAATCAAAAAAGGAAAGAAACTAACCTAGATTGGAGAAAATCAAGCGCGAACGAAGCACTCTCCACATCACGAACTAAGCACCAGTCCTTCACAGCACGAGCAATGGAAGGAAACAAAATGAAAGCAATGGGGAAGAGAAGGGAGAAAACAGAACTCCAACATAAAAAAAGAGAAACAAAAATGAGGAAGAGAAGGAACGAGGAAGAGAGAAGTCTATAGGGGGTGGGAGATGGGGGTGTGTTGTGCGTCGCACCGAGGGTAAGGAATTAAGGTTTTAACTAAAAGTATAAAAAGTTAAGAGTAAAAGTAAAAAGGTTTAATACATCATTTGGTCTCTACTTTTAGGGGTTTGGTTCAAAGTAATTCTACCTTTTAAAAAAGTTCAGTAAGACCCCATATTTCGTTAAAAAATGTTCAATCCGGTCCTTTTCGCTCACGTCGTTAAAGACATAACGGTGCAAATGCCACGTTATCATCACCATCTCTAGACAAACCCTAATTTCTCTCCAAGAACCCTAGCCGTTGCACCATCCAGCACCGTCACCGCCATCCTCGCCGGCAGCCGTCCTCTCCAACACATCACACGCCACCACCAAAGCGTCTTCTCCCTTCTGTTGCACCTCCATCACCTTCGCATCTCACCTCCGTTCTCGCACCACCCCCCAACGCGATCCCTTGCTATGCCGCGACCACCAATCTTCACCATCTTCACCTTCGCACCAGTCAAATCGTCGTCGCGCCAGCCGCACTGCCATCCAATCTCCACCGCAAAATCGTCCACCACTAACCACCAGCCAAATCGCCAGCTGTTGCAGATCGTGAATCGCTACTCTTCTCCACTACTAATCGCGTCGTTGCTTGCCTCCACCTGCAACCACAATCAGACCTGCAAGCAAACCGTGGAGACCTAGGGTTTCTCGTGTTCTCGTCGCATAGCTTTAGTGGTGGCGTGTGATGCGTTGGAGAGGACGGTGTCCGGCGAGGATGGCGGTGACGTCACTGGATGGTGCGGCGGCTAGGGTTTCTTGGAGAGAAATTAGGGTTTTTCTGGAGATGATGATGATAACGTGGCAAAGACTTTTGTTTTTAAATTAAAAAATCATTTAAGTCCACCTATTAACGTGTGCCACATGGTTATGAGATGTCACGGTGGCATTTGCACCGTTATGTTTTTAACGGCGTGAGTAGAAAGGATCGGATTGAACATTTTTTAACAAAATATGGGTTTTATTGAACTTTTTTTAAAAATAGGATTACTTTGAACCAAATCCTTAAAAGTAGGGACCAAATGATGTATTAAACCAAGTAAAAAAGAAAATTAACCTAGAGGTATTTTGGGAAAGAAATAAAATGGATTAAGAAATAAAATGAAAAGGTGGAAGGAGAAGGTTGTGGTGGTGTAAGGAGAAACTCTCCATGTCAATTTATAATAATAAAACATGGGAGCCGTCAAACCCTAAATCCATCAGAGCACCCGTCAGACCATAATATCACAGCACTAGAGATGATCGATGCGGCCAACAATCCCTAGAGCAAACTCGAAAAATCACTCTGTTCTAGCTAGCTTCAGATCCAGCCACCGCGTCAGCTCGCTTTGGGGGTGAAAATCGCCACATCGTGCTAGTTTGCGATCTCACTCGCAATTTTAAACTGCTCATGGATGATGCGATTCAAACCACGATCCAGTAGCATTCGAGACGATTAATGCGATTCGAATATTGAATAGTAGGATACGAACATAATATAAGAGCAAAAACAAGTTTTCAAACTATTCGTATTGTGGAGGTGGAGAATCGTATTGTATCGTACAATTCGTATTTACACTTACTACCATGTTTTTAAACCGTAAATATAAGGTTTAATAGCCAATTTAATCCTCACTTTGGTTGAAAAATCTCAATTTAGTCCCTCGTTATAAAAGTGTTTTGAATTAGTCCTAACTTTTAAAATAGTTGGTCAGATTGGTCCTTTCTGTTAANATAACAGCACATGTTCACATAAACATACCTAAATATACAAATCAAACTATCTATCATGCAAACAAACATATAAATAAAAAAGGAAAGAAACTAACCTAGATTGGAGAAAATCAAGCGCGAAGGAAGCACTCTCCACATCACGAACTAAGCACCAGTCCTTCACGGCACGAGCAATGGAAGGAAACAAAATGAAAGCAATGGGGAAGAGAAGGGAGAAAACAGAACTACAACATCAAAAAAGAGAAACAAAAATGAGGAAGAGAGGGAACGAGGAAGAGAGAAGTCTATAGGGGGTGGGAGGTGGGGGTGTGTTGTGCATCACACCGAGGGTAAGGAATTAAGGTTTTAACTAAAAGTATAAAAGGTTAAGAGTAAAAGTAAAAAGGTTTAATACATCATTTGGTCTCTACTTTTAGGGGTTTGGTTCAAAGTAATCCTACCTTTTAAAAAAGTTCAGTAAGACCCCATATTTCGTTAAAAAATGTTTAATCCGGTCCTTTCCGCTCACGCCGTTAAAAACATAACGGTGCAAATGCCACGTCATCATCACCATCTCCAGACAAACTCTAATTTCTCTCCAAGAAACCCTAGCCGTCGCACCATCCAGCGCCGTCACCGCCATCCTCGCCGGCAGTCGTCCTCTCCAACACATCACGCGCCACCACCAAAGCATCTTCTCCCTTCTGTTGCATCTCCATCTTCTCCCTTCTATTGCACCTCCATCACCTTCGCATCTCACCTCCGTTCTCGCGCCACCACCCAACGTGATCCCTTGCTATGCCGCGACCACCAATCTTCACCATCATCACCTTCGCACCAGCCAAATCGTCGTCGCGCCAGCCGTACTGCCGTCCAATCTCCACCACAAAATCGTCCACCACTAACCACCAGCCAAATCGCCAGCTGGTGCAGATCGCGAATCGCTACTCTTCTCCACTACTAATCGCTTCGTTGCTTGCCTCCACCTGCAACCACAATCAGACCTCGAAGCAAACCGTGGAGACCTAGGGTTTCTCGCGTTCTCGTCGCATAGCTTTGGTGGTGGCGTGTTATGCGTTGGAGAGGACGACTGCCGGCGAGGATGGCGGTGACGTCGCTGGATGGTGCGACGGCTAGGGTTTCTTGGAGAGAAATTAGGGTTTTTCTGGAGATGGTGATGATGACGTGGCAGAAACTTTTTTTTTTAAATTAAAAAATCATTTAAGTCCACCTATTAACGTGTGCCACGTGGTTATGAGATGTCACGGTGGCATTTGCACCGTTATGTTTTTAACGGCGTGAGCGGAAAGGATCATATTGAACATTTTTTAACAAAATATGGGGTCTTATTGAACTTTTTTAAAATGTAGGATTATTTTGAACCAAATCTCTAAAAGTAGGAACCAAATGATGTATTAAACAAAAAAGAAAATTAACTTAGAGGTATTTTGGAAAAGAAATAAAATGGATTAAGAAATAAAATGAAAAGGTGGAAGGAGAAGGTTGTGGTGGTGTAAGGAGAAACTCTCCATGTCAATTTATAATAATAAAACATGGGAGCAGTCAAACCCTAAATCCATCAGAGCACCCGTCAGACCATAATATCACAGCACTAGAGATGATCGATGCGGCCAACAATCCTGTGATCTAGAGCAAACTCGAAAAATCACTCTGTTCTAGCTAGCTTCAGATCCAGCCACCGCGTCAGCTCGCTTCGGGGTGAAAATCGCCACATCGTGCTAGTTTGCGATCTCACTCGCAATTTTAAACTGCTCATGGATGATGGGATTCAAACCACGATCCAGTACCATTCGAGACGATTAATGCGATTCGAATATTGAATAGTAGGATACGAACATAATATAAGAGCAAAAACAAGTTTTCAAACTATTCGTATTGTGGAGGTGGAGAATCGTATTGTATCGTACAATTCGTATTTACACTTACTACCATGTTTTTAAACCGTAAATATAAAAACCATAATCATGAAAGCTAGTAGAGCAACCAACCGTACTACACTTACTCGTAAATTAGGTACATAAAAACTACAAAAACTACTCAAGCAGCCAAAAGTATGTTCAACCCTCACAAAAAATTGTCGTGTCGGTGAAAGAATTTACAAATTTGTGATGAGATAACTTGAAAATATGTTTTATCACTGTGTGACCTCTTGTGAAAGCACTTCCTTGATGGCAACGAACGCGATTATCAGACCAAAAGACTTTCTATCAAGTCAGGAGAACCTCACAGAAAATACGAACCAAATTTGGGTTGCAGTCTCATTCTGATTAAGTAAATTTGAAACAAAACATTCTAATGTTTTATTACAAAAGTGGGGAAACTCATAAGGAGTTGGTGTGGTTGATACAGCTCCATTGTCCCAACACAAGCATTTGAATTAGTTGCAAAGATTTGGTATGCAGACCCCAGCATCTGGATTCTGTTGTTCCTTCCATATTCTTCCTGTAACTCTTAGTTTGAGCTCTTTCTTATCACCTCCAGAGAAAAATAAGGCCATGTTTCGTTGAATAATGAGACCGTCGTGGCTATCCCTGACTTTCCTGTGGCTATCGCGAATACTTCGTGGTGTGCCCTCCCAAATGAGTTTCCTGCCATTTGCCCCAACCTCAAGGCTGTAGCTGTAGCTACGAGCCTCGTTCTCATCACCCATAAATCGAAGGAATGCCATGTAAACAGGAGCCATGCCAAGCTGGAAAGCTTCGAAGTGAAGGCAGAAGTATTGCCCAAAACAATGAAATACCTATGGAAACAAATGTCAACTGCTAAACAGGAAAATCACATGCATGCACAACCTAAAACATAATTTTAAGCTAGTTCTACATTTATGGAAAACATAATTTCAATTTCTATTTTCTACTTTTCTATCTTAAAATTTTTTATACAACACTTTGTCTATAGAGAATGAAGTACATTTGAAACATTTGAAGTATATAAAAAAGAAATACAAATTCTTTTTTAATTAATCCTACTGTCTTCCAGACTTGGAAAGCTTGAGAGTACAAAAATAGAAATAAAGTACGAAAAACGAGAAACAAGAAAGTAAAAATATTAAAAACGAGCTAACTAACTTGCATTAGACTTTCTGTGCAAAAACAAAAATATTTGCTTAGAAATTTACATAATCAATCATATGAGGAATATTTTATTAATATTATATCAAAGATTGACTATTTCATTAATATTTTTTATTCTTTATTGTAATAATAACAATTATAAATAATTAAAAATATGAAAAAAATAAATAAATAAAAAAGAAATTATTAATAATAATAAATAAATATATCTCACTTTTCACTTGTTTCTACCTTCTTTAACTCAATCCAAACAATTTCATTTTTTATTCTCTTTCTCTTCCATTTTCTTTTTCACTTACTAACTTTCCATTATGTAATCCCATGAATACACAAAAGGGAACGAAGTAAATAAATAAAATATTTCTTCACAAAATACCGTTTAAAAGATTTTCATATAGCAGCATCTCCTCACAACTGAGTGTTCCCACGAAAAAACACAGTTTTATGAGCATTTGAATGACCATTTGACACAGAGAAGTAATACTCTACAAATGAAATGTAAAACACTTACGGTTAGCATCCAAGTTGCATTCTCTACTTCACGAGGATTGGATTTCACATAACGATGGTTGAATGTGCAACCTGTGTGCATGTCCACCTTATGATCATCCCTCAAATGTGCAACAAGGAAGGGAATGTCTCCAACAACAGAGCACTCTGATCCAGCATAAGGACAATTGTATGGTCTAAAATTGCATACAGTCTCGTGCTTAAGCTTGCTGTAATATGGAAAGATTTCGGGACATCCAAGGGAATAGTACTTGCAAGGTAACTCAAGTGATTCAGCCACCTTCTCCAGTGCTAGACACCTAATATCCCCAAGCTCTTGTCTACAAGTGGGACATCGATTGTGCACCCTTGTTTTACAAGTGGAACACAATGTGTGTCCATTGTGACACTGCAAGAAGCTATATGTTACTCTTCTTTTCTTCCCCATTTAACAAATACATACTTTTCAGCAGGTTCAACTAATATACTCCAATCATTATAAGAACAACTTTAAATGACTATATAGGTTCATAAACAAATATTAGGCTGCATACGAGAAAATTAAGATAATTGAAGAAATAAATGTTGGGCAACATTCTACTGACAAGAAATTTTTAGCCATAAAACCACAAAGTAACCCTCACTTATGCCAATACTCACGAAATCAAATTTGGCATGTTTTATGAGTGCGTATAAATTTGAAATGTGGTCATGCAAGAGAGAACAAGAAGATAGCTCTGAACATACCAATACAAGTACTATGTTTTTGAAGAATAATTTATTAAATGTTATATATGGCATCAGAGATTACCTAGATTCATCGTTAGGTCACCTACATTTGTCACACTCCACACGCCATAAACGGTATGAAGGGGTATTGAAAAGTCACCTTAAAGCAGTCATCCCTAGTCCACCATAGTTGTAGCCCTTTTAGAGACTGCCTTAATTGCAGTCTAGAGGGCATTAATTTAATCTCACACATCAACTAGAGATTTAGTTTATCAAATTTAGGTAGTTATGATCTTACAAGTCAATTTTGTGAACCTGCATATGTTTTAAAGCTTAAATTCTAAGAAGAATCAAATTATCTCTTCTTTCGTTGTTTACCAGAATTATTGCTGTTAGCACTTTGCAAAAGACACCGGGTTTTGGCATTATTTATTAGCTATAATCCCAGTTGTCTCTGGTGAAAAAATTGACATACAAATAGGCCAAAAACGTTTGCTTGATTTTTTACAGGTAAAAGTGATTTTTTAAACCAAAAGTCACTCAGGAATTGTCCAAAAGTCTTTTCTCCCCTTACAAAGTGAAAAAAAAAAGTCAAAAAGTATTAGCATTTAATTAGTAAAGTTAGGAAGAAAATAAAAGAAAAAGTAACTCACATTCTTTCCATTTTTCATTTCACGAGAAAGGACAAGCATCTGTAAGTCTAACCAAAGAAGATATAAGCTTCAATTTCACATTTTACTCCAAGTATATCTCATAAACAAAACCCAGTTTGCATGTGCAAAGTGGTACTAAGCCTGACAGCAAATTTATAATTCCTGAAGAAGAATGCAACTGCCATTCATATGTTCCATCTCAGGGTGCTAGCAGCTTTACATTTAACCATCAAAAATACAAGTTAACAGGGACGGAGGCAGGCATGCATGTAAAATATCCAAAACTTTAATTACAATGGTAAATTGGTGAAAATGTTAGAAACATTAATCATCCCTTTCATGAGAAAAACTAAATCATCTCCTTTTTTAAAAGATTAAAAATTACAAATATTGATCCCCAATTTCACATGCTGAGAACATAATTCTATGACTTTATAATGAAAAAAAAAAACTATGTTAATAACAAATATTTAGGAAAATATATTATTAATTATGTTCTATAAATCTATTAAATTAGAATATTATGTTACTTATTACACAATAATAGCCAAGAACCCTCGAAAAAGAATATGCTTACAAAATGTTAAAAAGTAGAAGAATGTTGTGTCATGACAACAGTCATAAACATAAAGCAAATTTTAAGGAATATATCGTGCAAGATGATATTCGCTTACTTCTCCAAAGACTTATATCGACATATTTGGATTCAACACTCGATCATAGAAACATGTTAAAGCCTCACATAGAATGCTTAAAAATCAAGGAAAAGATAATAAAAACAAAAGGAATTGAGAACGAGACTAAGATTGTACATAATCAATTTGGATTTAGGCCAAGAAGAAACTGGAACTTTATCTTCAAAGGAAAGGTACATATGAAGAGTATATATATGAAATAAGTCGAAAAAAGCATATGGTCGAGCACCGAGAGAAGTTTTTGCGAAAAGAAAAGTTTATGCACGACTTACATCTAAGCTATACACGACACATAATGAGGTAACTACCATGTGACTATGTGAGAACTTCTAGACTAAGGAATTTCATATAAAAATAGATTTACATGTAGGACTCAGCCTTGGGTCTATGCTTATTTAATTTTGTCTACGATGTCTAATGAATACATGCAAAAGATTAACCTTAAATGCATGTGTTTTGTGGATAATAAGGTTTCAAAGAATCAAGAGAGAAGAAATTAACTCTAAACTTGAGCTTTCAAGATAGAAATTAGAAGCAAGGGGGTTTTCTCTTAAATTGGGTAAAACAACCTATGCACCATGCAATTTTAGCAAGAAATAAGAGGAAATCATTCGAAGGTAAAATTTAGAGATGCCATCAGGTTAAGTTTACGTATCTAGGATCAATTTTAAAAAATAATGAAGAAATTAATGAAGATGTCACACAGGATACAAACTGGAATGTTAAATTGAAGGAAAGCATAAAAAGTTGTGACAACAAAGTACCTACTAATATTGGGGAAAGATTAAACGTGACCTCCATTATATCATTATCTATCAAAGATGGGTCTCGTACTGAAATGTTAATAAGTCATGGTAGTGTTGATATGCTTGAAGAAGAGTTCGAGAAGCATTCTGAGTTATGGTAAAGTCATCTAGCAGTTATGAAAGAAGATTGCCAATATAGGGAAGGTAAATATGTCTTCATTAGAAGGAACAAGAGTATACTATGGGATACACTTAAAGAAAGAGACATCATCAGAAACAAAATGTTGATTAAGATCAAGAGAGAAACATCAATAACATAGTGTTCTCTTGCTTCCTCTAATAAGCAAAGCCTTTCTGGAATGTTACACACAATTTCTAAGCTCAGGTACTCAATGAAAGTCTTTATGAGCTCATTTTGTTTTAAAGAGAATGTTCTTATCTTCATGTCTACCAAGAAGATCTCATAAAATCCCTATCAATATCAAAGACCTCTTGAAGGAGTCGCTAAAGCCATCCCACGCCAATACATCCTAACAACCTTATTGTCAACTCTGAAAAGGGTATCTATTGTGTATGATTGTATTTAATGAGTCTAGTAATTAAACCAATAATAGAAGGAATTTGATCACCAACTAGAACATGACATATGATCAAAATCTAAATGTACGCTTCTCAAAACCAATACCATATAACATCCATCAAGTTTCTTGTTGACTTTCTCTAATAAGTATGCTACTAGAAATCTTTTAACTTCTTCTAGTGTGGCCTCCTTTGTCATATGTGAAACCATGTCATGATTGGTTTGTTTGAGAGAAGTTACATTTTGAATTGCATAAAAAAGATGTTGAAAATCATTAGCAAAATTATTTTGTGCTTTCTTCTAACAAGAAATAGGTTTTGAAAGATTTGAGCATCTCTAAATCATCAGGCTCAACTAACTGCCTTAAAACAACACATAGTTGGAAGTCCATATTTGAACACTGGGATTTGTTTGCATTAGGAATAAAGTTGAGTCTTGCTAATGTAATGGTCGGAATAGTTGAAAAAAGGAGTAGAACATAATGAACCAATCTCAAAAACGAAAAATGGTGACCAAACCTAAGGAGAGAAAAAAGGAACCCTAAAATGAGAGAGAAGTGTCCCAACACCAAAGTACATCAAAAGAGTGAAATGAAGTAAAAACAAATGAAGGCAAAAGAGGTTAGAGGGTCAAATGGAGGTATTGCTGAGTGATTATGACAACAGGATGTGATGGCATACCCCCAAGCCATGGCCAAGTATAATCAAGAAGAGTTGGAATCATTTGTGAAAGGATGGCCCAAGCTCTTATCATCATGGGCCATCAGTGAGTTCTTAATAGATTAGGTTTATTTTAGGTCTTGTATCATGGACCAAGTAGTATAGGATTTCCTTTTTGGGCTTTGTATAATAGGCCAAGTAGTGTAGGGTTTTGGTCTACAAAGGTCAACACCCAAGAGAGGCCCATATTCTAAAGTTGACCACATGGGTCAATGTTTTGTCTTTGCCTTGGTGAGCAAGGGAGAAGGGTGTCCCACCTTTAGGAGAGGTGGCCATGTGGCATTCTCTCAATGGAGAGGATTTCCCATAGGTAGTAGTCATGAGTCATTCTAGGAATGGAGAGGATTCTCCAATGTTAGTGGTCACATGTCCTCCTCCTAATGGAGAGGATTTTTACCTTGGTTTCCAAGCTAGCCAAGTTGAGGTTTTTAGGGTTTTGCTTCTATAATTTGGAGACACCTTTAGGGTTACCTAAGTTTATAAATAGAGGTGTCTCCCCCATGTAAATTAACCTTTGAATTAAGTATTGTTATGCTATCAAATTTGTGCCATACTACTCAACTTAGGTCACCAAGGTTAGAGCATCCCTTCTAGGTTTCCTCTAGCCACCCTTCCTCTTGAGTTGGCCCAACCTCTCTTGAGGGCACAACAAATTCCACCATAGCCTCTACCCCTTGCTTGAGTCATATAGCTTGGAGGAGGAGCTACCATCTCACCACATCAAACCGTGCACAATATTGTCACCACCATCAAGCTTCCGTAACCACCAACCCATTTGGAAGTCTTCACCTTGCTTGAATCACATAGCTTGGAAGAGCTTTTTCCAATAGCAAGGCAACACGTGGAGAGCATGAGCCAAAAACTAAGCACGCTTAGATCAGCGTATGAAGGTGCGTGGATGGGTTGGGTTGCACTCCTTGAGGCACACCCAAGAGAATGATGTCAAATGGTAAGGATGAGTGAGAGTGACAATAATGCTAGTGATGACACCAAATATTATTGAAGATAATGAAGGAGAAGACAAAGCATGATCGTACCAACTCTAATACCAACTTAAATAAATAAGATAGAGAAAACAGTGTATTCATTCAACCTACACTATTGTCCTTTTGATTGAGGTGTGTATATACATAGGCCCTATGATTTATATCAATATATACTTCAATTTTTAATTTTCCATTCCTCTTGAACAATAATCCCCTTCCTGGATTTCAAATATTAAAGGATTCGGTTTAGGGCTTGTAAATATCTTTCCCTTGGATCATGCATGAATTGACTAAACTACAC